TTTTCTGAATGCAGAACATTGCATAGAAAAACTAAAGATAATTCGAGGTTTGGGATAGTGTTATCCTCTTTAGAGAGGTTTACTTTTGCTTCTGGCAGTCAGGGTAGAAACATCGCCTCTTGATTTAACAATACTCTGAATGTGATTCACTCTTAATGATAGATGGTCTACTTCTTACTTACCACACTATTCCTAGGTTGTAGTCCTTTGGGATTCACAAATGAAAGTCAGAAATGTTTGCCAAAATCCCTTCTCATCCTACTTGAGCCCTCAGCTCCAATTTCTGTGTCTCCTTTTCTGTGCAACTACCAAAACCCTTGCTCAACTGGTTGACCTGTCTGTCTCTACTTTCAAATTATCAAAGGAAAAAGTAGCAGTGAATCTTTCCAGAGCATCTGTCTTTCCATGAAGAAACCCTTCAAGACCCTGATGCCTCAATTGCTCTGTGATACCGTCAAACAGATTTCTTTAAAAAAAAATTCTTTCTTTTCTTGTTATTAGCAGGAATTGGTCTAAATCACCATTGCTGAAAGCAGAAATTCTGATGAAAATTTTTAAATCAAATCTCAGACATTATATAATTTAATGCATGTTTCAGTTTATATCTCTGAAAAATTTGATGTTTTCTTATACCTACAATACCATTTTATGTTCATATTTTTTGATTATTTCAGAAATGTCTTTTTGTTTGAGTTAAAATATACAATATACAACATTGTTATAATATACAAGGTCTATTTACTACATATGGTTATTAAGTCTCTTAAGTCTCTTTTAATCAAAATTGTTCTCTTTGCCCAGCATCTTTTTCTTTTTATGCCATTGACTTATAGAAGATCCTAGGTCTATTCTTCCCTAGCACCCACCACCCTCTTATTATGAATTAGCATCTGCATATCAGAGAAAACATTCAGCATTTGGTTTTTTGGGCTTGCTTATTTTACTTAGCATGATATTCTCCGACTTCATCCATTTATTGGCAAATGCGATAATTTCATTTTTACTTTATATTAGGTAGAGGAGAGTGAAGGGAGGGAACGAGATATGGGATAGGAAGGATAGTAAAATGAAACAGACATTATTACCTTATGTACATACATAACTGCATGACTGATGTGATTCTACAACATGTACAATCAGAAAAATGATATTATACCTCATCTACATATGATATATATCAAAGTGCATAAATGCATTCTACTGTCATATATAGCTAATTAGCACAAATGAAAAAAATATAAAGTAAAAAAATGCATTTGTACTGAAAAAAAATACATTTGTATTGAAAAAAGGTTAAAGTTCTGTAGAATTTCCCATTGTTGGCAGCAGCTGACTGCTTTTACTTGTTCCTCTGTTATTTATCCTGAAGTGAAATTTGATTTTATGGACTTGATTAGATGAGTTTGGGTTTGTAGATTTGGTTTGGTTTGGTTTGGTTTTGACATTGGATGCTTTGTAGATAGTATGCAAAATAATTCCTATTTCCTCACATCACTGGCACTTCATGTTTGGTTGTTCCATTTTAGTGATGCTAAATTGGTTGGCGGGTTCATAGATAACAACCTAATCCCACCACTGTGAAATTCTCCTCCATGCTTTCATCCAGTGGTTTTCATCTAGTGATGCATTTTCCATGGGTCAGTTATTTTTTCAGGAGATGAAGATGATGATTTTTCTAATTCCATTGCCATTACATATTTATACACTAAAACTCATGTAACTAGAGTTCTTTGGTTACTCTGAAATACAACTTAAACAGGCAGGTTAAGCTTTCCTTTTAGGTTTAGTAATGTGTTGATATCAGATTTTTTAAAATAGTCCTGAATACTAAATACCAAAAGCTGCTACCTGTAATGAAACAATGTGATTAGTCGTTATATCATATGAAAATCTCACCAGGATCAACAGAGGCCTTGCCATCAGGTATTCTTTCTCTACATCTTTTTAACTTGAGATATTGAAGTTCTCTGATTCTCCACCTCTTTGTATAATAAGACAGCAAGACCTTCATGCCCATAAGTCAAGGTTAAAGCTAGTACATGTGCTTCCTTGGAATCTCTGCTTATTTAAACTCTTTCCCTTTATGCACTTATTCACCTCAGAAGCACCTAAGGAAATTTGTTCATGCGATTGCTATCATTGTTAACAACTGAAGAAGTAGAATGACTTGCAAAATAATTTTGTTATTATCAATTTGGGGTGTGTGTGTGTGTGTGTGTGTGTGTGTGTGCATGCACATGTGAACATTTCTGTTTCTGAATCTTGGAGCCAACTCTGGCTCCACTGTACCCCAGCAGGTCCCAAGGTCCTATTGAATCAGCCCTATAACTTGTTTTTTTTTTTTCTTTTCTCATTGCCACTAAACTTCTTTGAGTCCCTTTGCTCCTAGGCTCTCTTTTCCAATTTTGTTTCCTATAAAATATCCCTCTTTAGTGCCTCATCTGCAAAGGGAGACCAAACTTCCCGGCTCTGCATGGGTGCCTCTGCACAGCCTGGCCTCCAGTGTACCCACTCCTCAGGTTCCTCTTCTGGTCAGACCAGTGTGCTCACTCCCCCTTTGCGTTCAGTCTCCCAAACCATCATCAGAGCAGCCCGTCCCTTATTCCCCACAGGGTTGAGCCAGGATCCTCTTACCTCCTCTGGTCCAAACCAGCTCATTCCTGCTGCTCCCCAGAACCTGGAATTTCACAGGTACCTTCCCTTCACCTTCTCACCGAAATTCCTATGTAGTTCCTTCTCTGGTTCAGCTCTCAGCCTGGCCTCAGTTCCTAACAGTCCTGGGGTTAAGATTACTTGTGGGCCCTCCTCTCTCCTTATCACTGTCATACACAGCAAAGTTGATTTTAAAAAAACCCGCACCCTAGGTGGGAATTTCCCCCAGCAGGATGAGCTTTGCCAGTGTTCCTTGGGTGCTAATCCAGCAAATAATCATGATTCTTACTCCATATGTCAGCTGGGTGGCCTCCAGAAACAAAGCAGGCCCCAAATGACACCCCTGCTGGGGCTGTGAGACTGATCCAGGAATACTCATGTAGAAGTCTCGGCTACCCATCCTCTCCAGATGAAACTCTACTTCATTTTTTAATATCTTTCAGTGACCGAGGCAGGTACCTGTCATGGCATAATTATGCACCACTTTCTCTGTCATCACAGGACTGAAGATTTTCTTTCCTTCTGCTAACTGATTTGACAGACACCCACTTAGTGGAGAGATTATTAGTATAAAATTACTCTTTGGCCCTTAAATTTAATTATGCCACATTCATAGCAATAAAATAAAATCCTGAATCCAGGTGTGCTTTTCAAGGAAAGTGTCCAGGGCAATTACCTTCTGATAATGGCGTCCTGCGCTTAAGCCTTTTGTCTGGGGTTCTTAAAATCTTTTCCATACAAGTAGATAATGATGTTCATTCTGTAAGGGGTGAGAGGTGAAGTGATTGACCTCGTAGTATTCTCAAGAGATGAAGAAAAATCCAGGACCCAGGTGTCTCCTTTGTTTTCCCCCTTCCCTCTGCCTTTTCAGCTCTTTAAAAAGAGGCCTGGCCAACCTTCTATTGATTTAAATATTTTCTTCCCCAGTCGTGCTTTCCACTCTTCTAAGAGCAGGGATGAAAAAAGTTTCTGTATCACATTTCATGGGAAGAGTTGAGGTTCAGGGAGAGAGAGTGATTTGCACGATACATATTACACAGTAGCTGAAGTGTGGGGTCTACGGGCTCATAAATGAAGAGCAGGGGGAACGGTGCCTGGAACAGGCAGGCCCTGAGTGGGTGGTGACTCCTAGGATTGTCTTATGGACATCTAGGGCAGGTACCTTCTGTCTCTGGGGAAGCAACATTTGGCATGTGCCCTTGTGTTTTCAACAGTTGAGATGTATTTCCTCCCTGCACAGCCAAACATTTCTGAATCCTTAAGAGCTAGTTTAGGGCCTGTTCCCTCCCCCATGAAGCCTTCCCCAGTCCACCCAATCAGCAGGCATCTCCCTCTTCATAAACTCTAGTATCAGTTCAACAAACGTGAACTGAATATCTAGCATATGCTAAGTACCACCTGAGTTAGGGACAAAAGAAAGCTCTAGCCTATAGTATCATTTTAAAACTTGTTTGAATGTCTTGTCTTTTGTCTGATAAAATTATTTGAGGGAAAAGCACATCAGTACACAGTGTGTTGTCCCCCGCCCCCATCATTCCGAATATACAGCAGGAGCTGAGTATTCTCTTGGGGGATGTGGGAGCCAGAAAAGACTGAACTGTTGAATCCAATATGGTACATTCTTATTGAATTGAATTGAAATAATATGGGGTCTTCATGGGGTCTGGAACATAGCCCTAAGTCCTCATTCTTTGTTCTACCACAGCACCCTATTCTGTTCTGTTGAATGCGAAAGAGGTCAAGTATGTGTTGAGTTCCTTCTACATGCACATCATGGAGAAGGGTGCCTCAGTCAAAGGCACTGTAGTACAGTGTGATATACAAGTGCTGTAAATAGTGGGGACCACGATGGACTCTACAATGAGATTCTTTCAAAGGTCTTTTCAGATTAAAGGGGAGGTGTGGTAGCATTTACTTGGGAAATCATGAAAAGTTTTATTCATTTATTCAACAAATGTATATTGAAAACCAATATTCTGTTCCAGGCTTCGATAGTCCTGGAGCTTAATGGAAAAGGATGGAGGACAGAATTAGTAACTAGTTTCCTGCCTTTTGCCCAACTATAAATACAGAGGTCCATATTTTTGTTTCTCTTCTCCAGTGTCTTGTAGGGAGGCATTCTAGTCCTGCCCTGACTTTCTCTGATGCTGACGGCATTCTGGGATGCTGAAGAGGGCAGTGTGTGAAATCCCCCTGGTACTGCATTCTCCTGGATTACCAAGCTAATTTCCTTTTAGTAGCTCATTAACATTCACAGCCAGTGTTTGCTCCCACTTTCAGTCTCCTGATGAAATGCTGACTGTGAAGGTGAGAGCTACTGATGCTGTTTGCCTTTTGGTTTCTTCCAGGATTTTTTTCCCAGGAAGCCACCCCGTCAGAGGTGTGCAAGTAATGAAAGTCGGCAAACTGCAGTTGCATCAAGGCATGTTTCCGCAAGCAATGAAGAACCTGAGACTGGTGAGTGCACCAAGATCTTGGGGAGTTCTGCCTGGTACACCTCTTTCTGGCTGTCACTGGGCCTTTTCTTGGTAATTTTTTTTTTGTAACAACTCTATTTTTAGCACTATGTAATGTGCTTGCACACACATACCCAAGGTATGCTGGTAAATATTTAACAACCAGCTCTAAAAAGAAAGGAAAAACTGATCTGTGACGTTCTCCAGTTTCTGTGGTATAAATGTACCCCATGTGATTGATTTTAAATTACCCACATGAATCAGCCTGCTCCCAAAGCTCATGACAGTTCTAGTAATCACTCTTGTAAACGGGTGCAAACCAGCCAGAGTATCCCTCTGCACATGTACCCCACCCCACCATGAACAAGCACCCTTCTCTCTGCTGTACACAGTGCATCTCCTTGCATGGCAGGGAAGACGCTTGCCTTTGGAGGCCGCCCCCCACCCCCCCACACCAGACACACACAGTCGCACTGTACTCTCACCATCGCCTACTCTGACCTGCCAACTCCTGGGTCTTTACAAAGCTCTATTCTCTGCCTTAAATTCCCTCCCTACACCCTCCTCCCTGGACCTAGCAGAGCTCTACTGATCCTTTAAGGCTCAGCTCCAATGTCATTTTCTTCTTTATAACCACAAATCTTTGCTCACTCAGCCTGTGGAGAACACTTCCCATATTGTTGTAAGCATACCTGGAGATACACCTTCCCATCCCCAGGAGCCTGCAAGGTCCCTGTGGTTGTCTTTGTAACTAGTTCAGTGCCATGTATGATACCCAGAACCTAAGAAGTATTCATTGTTGGGGAAGAAGGGAAGGAGAGAGGAAGGTCGGTCAATATGATCTTAGCAATAAGTGCTGAGAAACTAAATGGGAGAACTGGGTCTGTGTTCAAACACCTTGTTGGAGAGAGACACTTATTTTCACCTTCTTAGGGAATCTCCTTTGCCTAGAGGTGCCCTGGGCTCCTTGTCGTCCTGGCCTTTCCTCTCCTGCAGAATCACCTCTATCCCAACCCATGGCCCTCCAAACAAAGAGCTCATGTGCTCAGCTGGTAGGTACTAGGAAGACCTGGCATACAGGGTTTCACAGGGAACATTGACACTTAATGGGGTCCTCTGGACCACAGTGCCCTTGTCTGCAGAAAGCTGTGATAGAAGAATCAGAGGCCTGCATTAGGAATGCTCAGAGAGTATCCAGGGGCTGGCTTAGCCCATAACATGGGCAATTTTAGATGAGAAAAATGACAAATACCTAAGGGATTCTTAGAAATAAGATTCCGGAGACAAACTGCTGTGACTCAGCACTAAACAATCCCGCTGAAACAACTGGTCGGCCCTTCTGAACCTGCGGAGGTTAATACCAACCGAGCCTTCATAGGCAGTGGCCACAGGATTGAGATGGGGCTTGGGAGAGCCAGTCAGGACCCACCCGTTGCATCAGTCACCCGGAAAAGGGAACGAACTGTCGCCATTTGTATGGGATACCACCATGGCAGAGAACTGACATCACCAGAATGTGGCGGAGAAGATAACTTCATTGAAACTGGCGGCAGCAGTGACTTCTTCCCTTCCCTTCTAATACCTTTCCTCCCAAGCATCAAATAAATTTATAGGAGTAAACAGTAACTCAGCAGTCAAACAGAACAAGAAGTACCATGAGCAGCATGAAAAAGCAAGGACGAAAAGGAGTACAAACAATGCAGGACAGCCTAAATATTCAGGAGGACCTAGAGGCATCAGAAAAATGGTCAAATAAAGAACTCAAGGAATACCTTAGACAGATGGAGTGGAACCTTAAAGAGGATATGAGACAGCAAATTCAAACAGTGAAAGAACACATTGAAAATGAATTACATAAACAGATAAAAGAAGCAAATAAGCATCTTTATCAGGAGATAGATTATAAAAAAATCAAACAATAATTCTAGAAATGAAGGAAACTATAAACCAAATTAAAAACTCAAATGAGAGTATCACCAACAGAGTGGAGCAAGTAGAAGCCAGAACGTCAGATAATGAAGACAAAAAATATCATCTTGAAAAGAGTCTAGCCAACTCAGAAAGGCTGGTAAAAAATCATGAGAAAAACATCCAAGAGATATGGGATAATGTAAAAAAACCAATCTTAAGAGTCATCGGGATAGAGGAAGGTATAGAGGTTCAAACCAAGGGAATGAGCAATATGCTGAATGAAATAATTGTAGAAAATGTTCCAGAAATAAAAAGGAAACGAACATACAAATTGTAGATGCATACAGGACACTGAGCATACAAAATCACAGTAGACCAACGCCAAGACACATTGTTATGAAGATATCCAACATACAGAACAAAGAGAAAATTTTAAAAGCTACAAGAGAAAGGAGGCAGATTACATTCAGGGGTAAACCAATAAGGTTAACAACGAATTTTTCATCACAGATGCTGAAAGCGAGAAGATCCTGGAACAACGTATTTCAAACACTGAAAGACAATGGATGCCAACCAAGAATTTTGTATCCAGCAAAATTAAGCTTCAGGTACAACAACGAAATAAAAATCTTTCATGATAAACAAAAGTTAAAAGAATTTGCAGCCAGAAAACCAGCATTGCAAAGCATCTTGAGCAAAACACCACACAAGGAAGAAATGAAAAACAATAACCAAAACCAACAGTGGGAAGTGCCTCAGTAAAGACAGAGGGCAGGGGAAAAGCTAATCATGGAGAAACAAACTAAATTTTAAAAAAAAAGATAAATAATCAAACATGGCTGGAAGTACAAATCATATATCAGTAGTAACTCTAAACGTTAATGGCTTAAACTCTCCAATAAAGCGACATAGGCTGGTAACATGGATTGAAAAAATAAATCCAACAATATGCTGCCTCCAGGAGACACATCTGATTGGAAAAGACATACACAGGCTGAAGGTGAAAGGTTGGGAAAAAATATACCACGCACACGGTCCTCGTAAGCAAGCAGGGGTGGCCATCCTCATATCGAATAAAATCGACTTCAAGACTAAGTTAATCAAAAGGGATAAGGAAGGACATTATATACTGTTAAAAGGAACCATTCACCAACAAGACATAACAATTATCAATATTTATGCACCAAATAATGGTGCTGTGACGTTCATAAAACAAACTCTCCTCAAGTTCAAGAATCAAATAGACCACAACACAATAATTATGGGTGACTTCAACACACCTCTCTCACCATTGGACAGATCCTCCAAACAAAAGTTGAATAAAGAAACTATAGAATTCAATATCACAATCAATAACCTAGACTTAACTGACATATATAGAATATATCAACCATCATCAAGTGGATATACTTTTTTCTCAGCAGCACATGGATCCTTCTCAAAAATAGACCATATATTATGCCATAGGTCAACCCTCAGTAAATATAAAGGGGTGGACATAATACCATGCATTTTATCTGATCATAATGGAATGAAACTGGAAATCACTGATCAAAGAAGGAAGGAAAAATCCTACATCACATGGAAAATAAACAGTATGTTACTGAATGATCAATGGGTTAAGAAGACATAAAGGAGGAAATCAAAAAATTCTCAGAGATAAATGAAAATACAGACACAACATATGGGAATCTATGGGACACAATGAAAGCAGTTTTAAGAGGGAAATTCATCGCCTGGAGGTCATTCCTCAAAAAAAGAAAAAACCAACAAATAAATGAGCTCACACTTCATCTCAAAGCCCTAGAAAAGGAAGAGCAAAACAACAGCAAATGTAGCAGAAGGCAAGAAATAATTAAAATCAGAGCGGAAATCAACGAAATTGAAACAAAAGAAACTATTGAAAAAATTGACAAAACTAAAAGTTGGTTCTTTGAAAAAATAAATAAGATCGACAGACCCATAGCCATACTAACGAAGAGAAGAAGAGAGAGAACTCAAATTACTAACATACGGGATGAAAAAGGCAACATCACAACAGATACTACAGAAATACAGAAGATAATTAGGAATTATTTTGAAAACCTATATTCCAATAAAATAGAAGATAGTGAAGACATCGATAAATTTCTTAAGTCATATGATTTGCCCAGACTGAGTCAGGAGGATACACACAATTTGAAGAGACCAATATCAACGGATGAAATAGAAGAAGCAATCAAAAGACTACAAACCAAGAAAAGCCCAGGACCGGATGGGTATACAGTGGAGTTTTACAAAACCTTTAAAGAAGAATTAATACCAATACTTTTCAAGTTATTTCAGGAAATAGAAAAAGAGGGAGCTCTTCCAAATTCATTCTATGAGGCCAACATCACCCTGATTCCTAAACCAGACAAAGACACCTCAAAGAAAGAAAACTACAGACCAATATCTCTAATGAACCTAGATGCAAAAATCCTCAATAAAATTCTGGCGAATCGGATACAAAAACACATCAAAAAAATTGTGCACCATGATCAAGTAGGATTCATCCCTGGGATGCAAGGATGGTTCAATATACAGAAATCAATAAATGTTATTCACCACATCAATAGACTCAAAGATAAGAACCATATGATCATCTCAATAGACGCAGAAAAAGCATTCGACAAAGTACAGCATCCCTTTATGTTCAAAACATTAGAAAAATTAGGGATAACAGGAACTTACCTCAACATTGTAAAAGCTATCTATGCTAAGCCTCAGGCTAGCATCATTCTGAATGGAGAAAAATTTAAGGCATTCCCTCTAAAATCTGGAACAAGACAGGGATGCCCTCTATCACCACTTCTATTCAATATAGTTCTCGAAACACTGGCCAGAGCAATTAGACGAAAGAAATTAAAGGCATAAAAATAGGAAAAGAAGAACTTAAATTATCACTATTTTCAGATGACATGATTCTATACCTAGAAGACCCAAAAGGGTCTACAAAGAAACTACTAGAACTAATAAATGAATTCAGCAAAGTGGCAGGATATAAAATCAACACGCATAAATCAAAGGCATTTCTGTATATCAGCAACAAAACTTCTGAAACAGAAATGA